AAGATTCAGGAGGGAAATTAAAATTACTCATTATGAGCAACATTCTACTAATCTAAACAGCAGCAGCAGCAAAAGCCGGGCGGCGGCAACAACAAGATCCTCGACACCAAATCCAAAACCCTCCGCCTCTACGTCTTCGTCAGCGCCCTCCTCGGGATCTTCTTCCCCGTCGCCTACATCTGCGAGGGGTTACTCAACGGCGACAACAAGGACGGGATCAATGCCGCCGCGGCGTTCCACGTTTTCTTGCTCGCCAGCCAATTCGTTTTCATGGAAGAGCAAATCAGTGGTGGAGAGTCCGAAAACCTTTTTACTTCAGTTAGTTTCTGTTTTTCTTCTCTGTTCTTTGCTTTTCTATTTTGGCATTAACCTCCAAATATGCGAAAAATAGTATAACAAGCATCATTATCGGAGGGAAGAATCCGGATCGGGATCCGTCCATACTCGGAGCTCTCTTCTCCGGTTATCTAGATCTGCATCAGAGCTACGCTGCTGCCGTGAAGAAGAGGAAGGCCTTCGCGGCGGAGAAGATTGGTTCCGGAGGCGGCGGTGGCGATAAAGCTGGAAACACGGGCCTCCGGCGACTTTGTTGGTCCGGCGGTCCCTGCAATCAATTTTCCTCAGGCGAGAAATAAAGAACCAATTAATGGCCCCATTGGTCAGTTTCGCCCTATTTGGTTTTAATACATCATTTATGTTATTTGATGTTATTGGGTCTTTAATGATCCGTTACAAGTGATTAATGAGTCACTAAAGCGATCCTTTTATGGCGCTCTACGACCTTTATGGTTGGTTTATATCTCAAATTATGGGATAGAAAGAATTAATTTATGACTTTCAGAATTAATTTATGGCTTTCAAAGTATCACTGGCGCAAACTTTTTCCTCATTGGAAAAGCTTCATCCATTGGAATTTTATGAGCATTTACTCATCGGATTGAAAGACGCCCATTATTTCGGGCTGTGGTTAAAAACGTCATTAAATAATAATTAATTCCGATTCCTTTTGTGTTTACAATTAACTTAATGAGCCATTAGCTCAATTTATTAGAATTAATGACATTTCCTTCAATTCATTCTAATTTGAGGCCCATTGGCAGTAGAATGTGAATTCTAAAATTCAATTTTTGGTTTCTTGCCAAATGTTATGACCAATTTTTTTGTTAGAAAATTAATTAGGGTTAATAAATCACGACAAAGTTGAAGAGTGTGTGATTAGCGGATATGGCTTTCCACTAAGAATGGTTTGTATTATTTTAAATTGTATTTGTATTATGTTAAACGACATTGCAAACTATGGTGGCTCTTCAATTTCATGAAGTAAATTGCTTTCTCAAATATCTAGATTGTTGGGAATATCAAGAGATTATTGAACATTTGTTCTTTCATTGCCCTCTTGTCATCATGCTATGGACTTTTAGTGGGATTAAGTGATTTGCTTGCTTCCGCCCAAATTTTGAACTTTAGTATATGGTGGCGACAATGTTATGTTTTCAGTAAACTTCCAAACCCACATTCTCCCATACGTTTGCCTTTTTTGGAGAATCTGGAAATCTCTTAACAAAGTGGTTTTTGAATATACCTCAGCCACACGCCCGTTCTCTTGCCCGTCAATTCCATTTCCAAGTCATTGAATTTTCCTTAGCCTTTCAGCCCCCAGGACCTCTCTCTCAGTCTTGTGCCCACTCCTCCTTCCGTTCTGCATCGCCCGCCTCCAAACTTTGTGAAGATCTTCTTTGATGCTGCTGTTTGTCGTTCCGGTTGCTCGTCTGGCTTCGTCATACATGGGACAGACGGGCAAGTTCTACTGGCCTGGGATCTCAGCACCAAGGAGTTTTCGATCCCTATCTAGCAAAGCACCTTGCTGCTAGGTGATCCTGAAGTGGTGATTCGGCATCTGGACCGTAGAACAGTGGAAGATTCGATAGGCGGCTCACTACTCCAAGAGTGTCATCGGCTCCTAGTTTCATGCTCTCTTTGTATAGTTTTTAGGGTGGTTCTGCGGACTGCCAACTGAGCTGCCCATAGAGTGGCACCTAAAGCTCTGTTGCTGTCCTCTTTAGAGGTAGCGTCCTTTGATTTTGTAGGGTGGCTTCACTATGTGTTGCTTTGGGTGGGGTTTTGGGTAGAGATTTCTAACTATTTTTTCTCTTGTCAAAAAAAAACAAGTTACATGTCATTTTCTTGGAGAGGAGTGAGTTTAACGTCTCCAATAAACCAATCAGCCTAACGTTTCCTACACTTAAAACCACCAAAAATGAAACCTTTAGCTAAACCTCTTAACGAACTAACAAATGTTGATACACGACAGCTAACAACCACTGTGTTATAATTGCAACTTGTTCAACTGTTGATTACTTTCAAACGGGAGGGACGTCGGCCGGGTTCCCGCCGGGGGCGATCTGGCCGATCACCGGAGTGGAAACAGGGGCGATCTGCTTCTGCTGCTTCCCCGCCGGCCGCAGCCTCTTGCACACCTTCCCCACCGCGTTGGAGACGAATATCAACACGTTGCTCATCGCCACCACTCCCACGGCGCCTTCCAGGCACAGCAAATCCGTGCTCATGTCGTTGTCCTTCCGGTACCCTGTCACCGCGAGGCTCATGAACACCGCGGCCACCGTCGAGAAAAACCCGGCCAAGATCAAATCAATCCCGATCGACTTGCAGAACTCCTTGTCCATTTTGGTTTAAAAAACAGATGGGAGCGAGAGTAAAGAGAAACGAAGAGGAGGCATATGACAGAATCTGGACATTCGTTTTTAATACGGCTCTGGGTTTGGAATCTAAAGACAGGGGATGGATAGAAATGGCGCCGCCGAGGAAATTTTTTGGAGCTAGAGGGAGTAATTGGCTTTGGGTTTGTCGATGGGAATGGAATAATGAGGCGGAAAACGAACTTATTAGTTGAGAGCTGGCATTTGCTCAAATCAGAACTCATCGGTATCTTCAAACTTCTAACAAGAAAAAAAAAACAGGGGAGAAAGGAGATGGAAAACAGAGCGGGATTGGTTTCAGAAGTCCACTTGTTCGGAGGAATTCAATATACCTCAAACAACTTGTCAATGCCATCCTTGTAAAAGGAGGGGAATCTGATTCAACGCCACACTCAAACTTAAGTCACTTGTATGGGTGTGAAGCTCAGCACAGTCTGGGAATGGAATCGTCGGGAATCAAACAGAAAATCTCTCAGTCACATAAAACTTTAATGTCATGTCAAGAATCATAAGGCTTGAAGTTTTGTTGAGAGAAGTTCAATTATGAATAAATATATCACCCGCTAACACACCTCATCAAATGATTGAAAGTCTACTCATACGGGGTTGAAGTTTGCACATGTCCAAATGTCATGTGCTTAACAAGTAGGGGTTATTAGAATTCGAATAGAAGACCTTGCTATGGTACATATTAAGAACCAATTCGTCCTAGTAATTCTAGTTGTTGGAAGATGTTTAACTATGGATCTTATATCACACACTAACATGCTCCCTCAAACTCAAGCCACTCATATCCGATGGAAGTTTGCACAATCCGAGAATAGTTGTCGAAAATGGAACAGATAGAAGACTACGATATCAAGTAGGAGATATATGACATTGACAATCATGAATTGCTATGATAGGAGGGAGATTTATTTCCATGTCTGGTCATAATTGAATCTGAAATTTCATTGCTTTGCATTTACTTCATGTGAAAATGGAGGACCCAACTTGCGGGAAAATGTGTGGTGGTGGTGGTCGGCAAGAACTGACCAATTTCTGGAACTGAAAAACCATCCTAAAGCAAATTCTCCACATTATTATGTTAGTTAAGAATTAAGATGTGGGATTGTTGGTACGTGGGGTTTAGCATAGCATAGCATAGCCACACTCTCATTGTTAGTCCATAAAGTGGAAGTTCTTAGGAATAAAATGAACCAAAGGATTAGTGGGTTCTAAAGTTGTGAAGACCACAACCAGCCAGGCCAGTTGGTAGCATAGGAGGAATCATTCCTCAGTTGCCCCCACATAACTTTGTCAATGCATTTGCTTCCACTTATTCCGTTTGTGATACTAATAATGATAAGCTTAATAATTGAAACCAATATCATATTAGTATGGTCTCCAATATGCTGGAGATCGAGTCGAGTTTGCGAAATGTCGGATGTTTCATGTTTATCAATCCACCAGGATCGATATCCTCGAGTCGAGCTTTCAATGATCGCTAACGCCTCAAACACCCACTTCGAAAGCCCAAATTCCAAGTCCTTCCTTCCCATCTCGCAAAGCCAACCCCCGAGACTTAGACTGTATACAACACACAATCACTTGCCAGTTACCGCTTCCCACATTGTCTCTTACCTACCATCCATGCTTTTACTTGTGTACCAACTTGAAACATTCAGTTTCAAATTACATGACATTTTCTTCTATATTTCGCATCACAAGACCCAATCCATACCGAGTAAAAACGGTAACAGAGCCATACTCGAAACTCAATTATGTATCACAATTATCCAATCATAAACCCACAAACAATGTACCACCAATTTACCAAACATTTCTGTGTGGCCCTTTTTTTTGCTTCATGTATAGACAAACAATACAGTAACATGTACAACTTTGGAAGAACTCCACACAACTCTCAAAACCCACCCAAACCATTCATCATCATCACCAAACAACAACAATCACTCATCTGGCCCACTACACAAAAACCCACATGGACCCACACCACAGTATTGGGCCCCCCACTCGGCCCATTTAACCAAATTTGAACCCACCAAAGTACACATCAGGAGTCAGGACAGTCTCCCTACTCCCTAGATTCATTCATCCATCATTCAGCCCATATGACCCTTGCAAAAATATAAATAAATTCCCCCAAAACAAAATAATATTTCATCTATACACTTGGCAAACAAACACGCCACATCAAATCAATCTCCGGCTTCATCCCAACCGTCCGTTCCCATATCCAATCACCACCGTCCGATCGACGCGCGAGGTGTCCGGTCCAGATCAAATCTCTCTCTGCGACGGGCTCCTCCAGAACCCCGTCCCGTAGAAACGGTCCCACATCTCCTTCTCCAAATCCTCCGCCTCCGCCGTCGTCTCCGCGCCGCCGACGTCCTCGGCGGCGGCGGCGGCGCGTTCCACCAACTCCCGGATCTCCCTCTCCAACTCCTCCCTGGACCGGCCGCCGCTGCTGCTCGTCGTCGGGGCCAGCAGCCCGTGCTGGCTCTGCTGCAGCTTCATCCGCCGCAGCCGCTGCTGCCGCTTCCGCGCCTTCCGGCACAGCCCCGCGGGGACCTTGTACACCGCCAGGACCACGATGTTCATCAGCGTGCAGGGGCAGCAGCAGCACACCGCCACGCACTCCGCCGCCGCGCCTCCGGCAACCTCCCCTGCCCTCCTCGTGTGTACCGCGTTTGTCCTATCCAGCCTCCTCCCCCTAATTCCGTCCACTCCCTTCATCTCCGCCTCGGTCGCCGCCGCGGGTTTCGGGTGCGGTTTATCCGCCAGTAACGGTTGCTTCTTCCGGTTGCGTAGCGCCGCCGCCTGCCGCGCCATTCGATTGAAAAGGGGGAAACACAAAAAAAAAAAAAAAACTAAAAAGAAAAGAAGGTTCGAATCGAATTGAAGACGAACCAATCGAATTCTCTCCTCCCTCTGAATTTCAATTTCTCCCCCTCGGAGGCGGTATTTAGTAATTTTTTTTTTTTTTGCCTCCGCCGCGAGACTCAGAGAGAGTTGTATTCCGCGGAAATCAAAGGATCGTCCATGGAGGACGTCCTTTTCGTCGCCGGAGGGAATACAGAGGTTTTCGGGAGCGGGGGAAATTGGAAATCAGAGGGAAGGGGGAAAAGAGAGGGGAAACTGGAGATTATGATGATGACGACGATGATGGGGATTGTCTCGAAAGAGACGGATTTCTTTATTGAGATTTACACGGGAAAAACTGAATCCGCGAAAGAGGCGGGTACTGAAATTCTTGCTTCTCCTTGTTATTATATTTTATTTTTTTGGGTTAGGTTAATCATTTTCTTTGTTTTGGTCTGTTTTTTTCCCCTGAATTTGTTTGTTACGGTTAAATTTGGAGTTCTGGTGTTGTGCAGACATCTGTTCAATTTTGGGAGAGGGGGGAAAAGTTTCATGTTGGTACCCAGGCAGGCAGGCGGCAGCTTGTGAAATTTTTCTTTCGATGCATGATTTTTACATGTCGTTACAAATGTGTCTGGAAGTTTGGTTTTGGTTTCTTAGAGCATCCACATTGGTATTGCATTCTCAATTGCAAAATGACATGGCATAGGTGTTTGCAATTGCAAAACCAATTGCATTGATATGGCTACCAATTGCATATTTGCAAGCTTGCAACAAATGCAATTCCATATGCAAGTCAAAAAAGCCTAAAAAAATGGGGATTTTGTATTTTATATTATTTTCTTTCCTCTTTTACTTAATTTTCTGTAATTTAAACATAATATTTAATTATATATGCAATTGTAAGTTAATTGCATTGATGTAGGTGAATGAAATGAATGTGATGTGGATTGCAAGAAATTTGGGTTGACAATAAAAAACATAAATGCAATTTCTTTTACAATTGCATTGATGGAGATGCTCTTAGAGGACATTTGGAAAGGGGCATCCACATTGGTATTGCATTCTCAATTGCAAAATGACATGGCATAGGTGTTTGCAATTGCAAAACCAATTGCATTGATATGGCTACCAATTGCATATTTGCAAACTTGCAACAAATGCAATTCCATATGCAAGTCAAAAAAGCCAAAAAAAATGGGGATTTTGTATTTTATATTATTTTCTTTTCTCTTTTACTTAATTTTCTGTAATTTAAACATAATATTTAATTATATATGCAATTGCAAGTTAATTGCATTGATGTAGGTGAATGAAATGAATGTGATGTGGATTGCAAGAAATTTGGGTTGACAATAAAAAACATAAATGCAATTTCTTTTACAATTGCATTGATGGAGATGCTCTAGGGTTTCGGATTTTGGAAGATAGGAGTTGGATAACTGTTTACGGATGTTTTTTCTTTGGAGACACGCAAACTCCTTGAAGGTTAAATGGTACAAAAAAAATTAACGAATGTTATCTCTTTGTTATGCCAATTCAAAGTAGTTCTTTTGGTGAAGATACAAAATAAAATTATACTTATGATATTGTGGGTTAACTAAAATAACATGTGATTCGCTATTTTAGGCATTGATGCGGGAGTTTCTTATCAAGTGTTTCATGTGGATAGATTTTATGTATATCTGATTCCGTCAATTCTGGTGGAGGATGTCAATTTTTTTTGAATGAACTAAAATGTTACCAAAAGCCTTATTAATTAGTGAGCTTCAAATAGAAGAATAAGGGGGGAAAACATGCAGTAAACGAAATTAAGCTATGTTGCTCTTAGACAATTGTGCGAAATGAAAGTTCTAAAATCGTGTTTGGCTTCTTTCGGAAGAGACATCAAGCTCATTGGGGGGAAAATTCATTGGTTGTTGCTCCAAAAGTTGAGTTCAGGGTGTGGTGAATGTTCTTATCCCCACACCCATTGAAATGAGCTCATAGGAACTTCAACACATTTACCATGGTTTTTCTCCCTAAGTCAACTATTGAAGCAAAGCAACAAACACTATTATGACTCTTGTATTTAGACAACTCATAGAACATACTGATTACAGACCAATCAAAAGCAAAAGAAAAATTATGTGAAAATTTGTTTGGGGGGGGGGGGGGGGGGCAAAATTAGGTGTTGTCAAAATGAAAGAAGTGTATACAAAACCATTATGACCATAAGGTGATAAACAATTAATGTGAACGAGGTGAAAATTTTATACAAAAACTTTTAGAAATACCAAAATTGGTGAACTATTATCATTATAATAAGCTGATAGACATTTGATTGCTATGATTCAAGGCCTAACATTGAACCTGATCTACTTTGTCTCCTTACCAATGAAGGGATTGTGTTTCCTTGAAAGAAAGAAATATAGATGATTGGTAACTCATAAGTCATATCTCTTCCTTTTCCTTTCGGTGTTTTCCCCTTCTCGTTTCCGTTGAAAGAGACAACAAACTCCATGCACGTACGGGAATGATTGGGTATTTTAGAATTGTTGTTGCTATATCTCTATCACTAAAAAGTAAAACCTACGGGACTCGTGTGTCACACATTTGATTGTCATAAGCCAAATACTCTTAAGAAGTCGAGTTGTTGGGAGATAATAGCTAGGTATGGAAATTTCGACCTGACCCGTTTTACCCGACCTGTTTGACCTGTTTTGGGGCGGGTCCGACCCGCCCCGTAGGCGGGGCGGGGCGGGCATGGGTAGTCTCATCGACCCGACCTGCCTTGACCCGCCCCATTCTCGACCCGTTCTTGTCTAAATTACATGTAATCTTAGTCAAATTACTTAGAATTTTCCTTTTATTACATCATATTTTAGCTATAATGAAGTTGTACATTAGTAAAAACCTCAATTTCTCCAATAATTTAACTACAATTGTCATAATATTGTTTGTTTTCTTAGTCTTATAATAAAAATAACGAATATTTCTAATGTTTTCATATAAATTGCATACCCATTGGGTCGACCTGCCCCGACCCGCGACCCGTGATCAATTACCCGACCTGGACCCGACCTGCCACGGGGCGGGTCTGGGTACCAAAAAACCCGCCCCGGACCTGCCCCATTGTCATTCCTAATAGCATGCCTTCTCAAATAAAAGTCAACTTATATGTACTTGAAGTTTACACATGTTCGAATACATGCGTTTAACAAATGGGAATCGACGGGATTCAAATACAATATCTCTCAATCACCAAAGACCCTAATACTATGTCATAAACCATCTGATCTCAATAACTCGAATTGATGGAATGTATTCCCATCAAAATCGTAGTTGAGGTTTTGAAACGACAGATTAAACCGCAAACCGTGAATCACACACAAGAAAACTTTGACTACTTGAGGTTTTAACGGTGAATCATGCATATCCTAGAAAACTATGACTACTTGAGGTTTCAGAACTGCAAACAATTAATCATACACAATAAAAACTTTGAATCGAGCTTATTGTCTTCCCCTAGACATGTGATAAACTCGACAGCTTTATCTGAAAGTTACAAAATCCCCATTTGACAACCGAGTAGAAGTTCAGGTACTAAACCGTGAATAATAGAAAATATGAGGACTTTCATCTGTAGTCTTCCCCAACAACCTATCTGCTATTTTCTGCCAGGATGGGGACTTGTCCTCCATAAGCTTTTTGACCAGCCGAAGAAAACAAGAGTAACTAGTGTGTGTAGGCCATTAATGTAGGAATTAATTGACGCTCAAGAAATCAAACAATTAATAAATAATTAGCAACTGTGGAAGTACTTAAATCAGGATTGGAGGAGCACTCAAGCCCAAGCGGCGACTAAATACGTCCCTTTCTGCTCACACTAATAAATTCAGGATTACGATTCCAGATATAAAGACAAAGCGTAAACACTTCCTATTAAAAACGGTTAAGAAAGTTGGCCTCAGGTTAGCACCTTATCTCATTCTTTATTCGAGCTAGTTTATGAGATTTTTTAGTGAGCATACATTTTTGTTTATCTTACTAAATTTGGGCTTGTCCGTTGGTAGCATACATTTTTGTTAATGATATAAATAATAGTAATTGTGCGAAGTAATATACATTTTATTAGTACCATATAAAATCCACATTTTAGATTACTGAAATATAAGAAAGGAACTGTTGGGGGAATAGCTTGGGCCCCCAGAATTAAGGAATTGGGGGGCAAGGCCAAAGAAAGAGGGTCCACCAGAAGCCCTTGGGCCCAAATGAGGGGAAGGCCCAAAGAATATAACACTAAAAGCCAAGTGGTGGCCAGCTGTCCAGGGGATCACCGCCTGTGGGCGCCTGTCATGTGTCAGGTGCCTGTGGTGTGTCAAGAGCCTGACAAGGCGGTTGGGTGTCTCGCAGAAGGGACGCAGAGCATTAAATGAGGATAGTGACGGGGACGAGATCAGCCTCGAGTTCGGTGAGTATAAATAGGGGCAGTTGGTAGCATTTACACAGGTTGGACTCTCTCTGATCATAGCTCTACCTGAGAACTTTACTCTCCCACTGAGACTAACTTGGGCGTCGGAGGATTAACGGGCCAAGGCGCCCTCCTCTTGGTGTGTGTGTAGGTCGACGCCCGTCGGAGGTAGACGCCCGGATAAGCGAAGGGAGTTTCGTGGCTCAAACAATTGGCGCGCCAGATAGGGGAATATAACCTGAGGTCATGAGTGAGGAAATGGAGGTGAGTGACGGGATGGAAAGGGAAGAGATCACGGAGGACCAGTCAGAACGACTGGGGGGGCTGGCGCCCGAACTGGATGAGAGGGAGGAGAGTGGTAGCATGTTTCGAGGGTCGGAAGGCGCCTCAGTGACGAAGAGAGAGTTGTTCAGAATCATTGAGGACCAAGATGGAGCAATCGAGGCGCTCCGAAAAGAGGTCGATGCCCTGAAGAGAAGTGGAGGAATGACACCTAGTCCGACGAAGAAAAGAGAGAGGGTAGCGGAGACGGAAAGTGAATCGGGGTACCAGAGGCGCCCCAGTTTGTGGCGCCCGCGCGAGCACGAAGGGCCAGATACAGGAGGATGGGGTGGAGGAATTTTGGGGCGTCTGTCTCGCCACGGACCCGTGAAACAACCGTTAGCGCGAAACATACTTGCGGAACCAGCGGGGACCAACATCCCCCCACTCCCCACCTATGATGGGGTCACTGATCCAGAAGACCACCTCAACGGTTATTTCACAAAGATGCAGCTTTACAACAGCACAGACGCCACCCTGTGCAAGGTGTTCCCGTCGACCTTCTCTGGAGTGGTGCTTGATTGGTATTATCAAATCGAAGAAGGGCGCATTGAGTGCTTCGAGCAATTCGCGGAGATGTTCCTCGCGAAATTCGCCAGCAGGAAACGGCGCACCCTAACCATAGGCGCCCTGTTCAAGATCAAGCAAAGAGAGGGAGAGGCGTTGAGGGAGTTTTATGAGAGGTGGTTATCTGTGGCTCTGGCGGTGAAGGATGTGCAGCCCTCAGTGTTAGGAGTGTGTTTGAACGAGTGCACCACCAGTGAGGAGTTGTGCAGATCGCTGGCGAAGAGAGACGTGGCATGCACTGAAGACTTAGATCACCGGGTGCAAAAGGTGATCATGCTCGAGGAAACGTTGGCAGCCAGAAGGGCCGACCGACGAAAGGAAAAAGGAGAAGAGGTGGAGCCGACAAGGAGGCCGCACTTTGCAGGCAATACGGGGTATGCACCCGCAAACCCCCCTCCTCCCAGGAGAGTGGACGCCGGGCGTCCGGCGCCCAGGGGACCCTTTGCTGAATATACAGACACGCTGAAGAACATACT